GGACAAACGACATCAACCAGCAGATTCGTTTCTGTGACGTCACACGTTTCCGACTTTTTGCAGAAAAACTAAACTCTGAAACGAGGGAAACAGATTTTACATCATCAGAGAACTAAATAAAACAAGATGTCAGCCGCGCTGAGCGGATGGAGACGTGGTCAAGAAATAGTTCCATCGTCTGCTAGTGACAATTATCTCTCAATGAACACGACACGGAATGTGTGTGTGTGTGTGTGTGTGTGTGACCTCTACAATGTTTTTCTTCTCTTGTTAAATATTCTTTTTTTTAATTTACAAACAGATTTCGATAATCTCTCATTAAAAAATAAAACCTCCTTTATAGTTTATTAATAAAGTTAATAAGAACCATTCTTTGCCTCTGTTACATAAAAACACGTTAATGTGCTGAGACAGGAAGTGCAGGCAGAGGGGGCGGGGCTAATGGGGGGGCTGTCAATCACAGTGACCAGAGCTAAAGCCGTCATACGAAAACGTTTCGACAGGAAAGGGATGCAGAACAGTGGGCGGGGTGTAACTGTGACTTCCTGTGACATCACTGTGACATCACTGACATTCTGGTTTCTCTGACTCCTCCTGCAGCTCATCACGTTCACACACGCTCTAAATAAAGATGGACGACATGACGCCTCCCAGAAGTGAAGCCACATCATCTGGATCGCCCCCTGGTGTCTGGCTGCAGTAGAGGTTATAAACCTCCTCCATGTTAGCAGATGGGACATGGACCAACGTTAAATAAACGTTAAATAAACGCTTGTAAAGATGTTTCTGTCGATCAGCTCGTTCTTCTGTTTCTGATCACTTTGGTTTTATTAATTATTATAATTATTATTATTTAAAGAAAAACAGGCTGAGTCGTCATGATCGACAGCTGAGACTGACTCACGATTGGTCGAGTGCTTGTGTGGGCGGGACCTCGAGACCATAACTTCACGATCAATACTGCACAGACTGCAAATGACGTCATCGCCACAAGATGGCAGCATTTGTATGGGAGATATTTTGGCTTCATTTCTGGAGGAAGTGGAGACGTCGTCCATCTTCACACTCGATGACTCGACCTCAGGACTACAGGCATGTGCTGCGTCTTCAGCACATTCTGCTTCACCAGGACACCAATTCGTCTCTATAGAGGACAGACAGACGGACGGACGGACGGACAGCAGGCACACGGGGCTGAAACACACAGTTCAGAAACGTGCTTCGTCTCAGCTTAAGACACCTGACGTCACAGCCGCCTCCTGAAGATTTGATTTAACGCCCACGTGGTCATTTCAGGCGTCAGATTGCAGCAGGAAGTGTCATAGAAAGATAAACGGGGGCGCTCACACTTTCTCGAGGAGCGGTCAGAATGTTTTTGGTTTAATACTCGAGTCCAATCACAAGATGATTTTTTTATGATTCCAGCACTGAAATCTTTTCCGTCAAATCACTGCTGTACGTTTGCATTTACTGTTTCATACTTTTTATTATTTTATACGTTTTGTGTAAAAATATTTTATTTTCTGAATGACTCAGATTTCCATCTTTTCCTCATCCAGGGAACTGTGACTTTTAAACCGCCGCCTCTCGGACAGTGACACCACATCTGCATTGTAACAGCTGCTGACTCTCTCTAAAGCCAGCTGACCCGGAGCTGACTCTACACTAAAACCCACGTTACCATGGTTACAATCACATGACGCCTCCTGACCAGTGGGACGTCCGATGTCAACGTTATCTGCATCAGTATCTACGTCGCATCTTCCCCGTTTTCTTTGCATCTTGTACCGTGTTTGCATATTTTTCTCTCAAGCTGTGGTTTGATTCTGTCGCTCAGTGAAAAAATAGAGTCGTGGTTTTCATGAACTAAACTTTGGGCAGAACCTGAAGACGTTTCTCAGATGTCGTATCTTTGTGAAATCAGTTTTGCTGATGAGAAAACAAAAAGGTCCGAATGTCCAACAACGGAACGTGTTTGTTTTTCTGCAGATGAAGTGAAACAGAAACTTTTTTTAAAACTTGCTCGGTCAATTTCTTCGAACATTTCTCAGTAACTGGTTTTCCGTGGAAAAGACGAGTGAACTGGTTTTCAGTTCTGAAGGTTCTGCACAAAGTGCCCGCAGTGTCGTTTAAGACGTTAAAGCTGCTTTAATCAAATGTGTCAAATTACAACGTAATGTGTTTGTGACCTGAACAGATGCAGCGTGTTGTGGTTTCCTCTCATCCCAAAACTTGAACCTCCTTTTCATTTGACTGAGGAGAATCTCACAACCTGTTTAAGGCCGTTCGTTCGACACCTGTGACACTTTGAAGAATATATAAAACCTCTAGATCATGGCTGAGTTCCTGTCAAAGTGGCTGATGAGGCAGAGAAAGCCGAGGCCTCTGAGCCGGAGGTTATTTCCGACCTAACGGCAGTTTGGGGTAAAAAAAATCCAAACCAATCAGGTGTCGTCCTTCCTGTGAAGCGATGGCCAACATGGCCGCTGGATGAACCTGACCACAGTTAGGAAGCTCAGGAGAAGCTCTGCCGAGATGCATAATGAGATTCAAGTTCTTCAGAGCGCTGCTGGTTTTTACAGACGTTTCTTATACAAAGCCGACGTCACGTGAGCATTTTATTCCTGCGTGTTTGCATTAACGCGAGTGCATTTTTCATTAACATGCGGATGAGACTCGTACAAGCTAATGCCTAAAAAGAGAAGCAACTTGGTTTTTCTTGACATCAAGCTTTGCAAGAGCGTTTTCAGTTAAGTGCCTTTTCAGTTCATTCTGTCGCGCAACCGAAACCTCATGTCCGTCTCCGAGACTTCATCGCACAGACAAAGATATTCCAGAGTTACGTCCAAACCCCGCTCTGCAGACCATCTAGTTGGGGGAGTGGTGGTGGCGAGAGCGGCGTCCTCTCCACCTCTAGCAGGGTGGCCATCTCTTTGCCGGATTCCCGCCAAGCTCCTGGAGTGGAGTGCAGGGGCGGGGGGGAGGGGCGGGGTCACTTCAACCGGTCAGATCGGAAGGAGTCCTCCACCGCTGGGTCAGCGAGCATCAGGTCACCTTCAAGCATGTCCAGAGCCAGGTGGTCCATCCTGAGCGGGTCGTCCAGGGAGAAGGGGTCCATCTCAAAGCCAGGGACGTGGGACAGAGCGCTGGCGATCTCTTTGGACAGACCAGGCGGAGAGTCTCCTGCAGGGACGGAGATAAAAACCTTTAAAGACAAAGAAACAACAGGAAGCAACAAAGTCTCGGATCATCTGGACGACTTCCTCTCAGCGAGATGTCAATTATCCATCAACCTGTTGTTCTGTCATTAACCGAGTTTCCTGAAGCTAAAGTGACGTCGTAAAGTTACTGAGTTTTGTGATTGGTCGGTTGATCAAGACGAGTCAAAGTCCAGTGTGACACATTAACCCATTGAGACCTGATGCAGCGTGTGTGTATATCCCTTTAAGACACAAGTCAAAGGTTTAATCTATCAAACGTTTTCCTCTCGTGTCTCTATCGGCCTCAGAGGCCACGTCTCAGGTCTGAGTGAGTTAAACGTTTCACTTGGTTCACACGGACCGGTGAGGATGATGTTGGGGACGTTGTGGCGTCCGTCTCCACCGCTGTAGTTCTGGTTCTGGTTGTTGAGAAGCTGCTGGTCGCTGGGATTCTGGAGTCCCAGGGGCCCCTGGGTGTTGGAGGGGAACTGGTTTTTGTCTGTGGAGCCGCAGCTCAGGCCGCTGTGGTTCAGGGACAAACCGTCGCCCTGGTTCTCTGCTGTGAACTGGAAACAGGAAAAGAACAGGTGGGGATTTAAAGGAGGATTCACCTGGACACAAATATTCACAACTTTTCGCTGAGACTGTGGATATTTTCTGAATCAGGGTATTTGAGGTTTTGAGTCCAGATGCTCAAATGTGGACGTAAATCTGTGTCCTGCTGCAGCTCCGGTGACATGTGACCAGTTCAGACATCAGCAGGTGACACCAGTTGTTTACAGACTCAGGTGACATCACATGAGAGCGAGCGGATACCTGCTGGCTGGATTTGCTGGAGAGCTGCAGACTCAGGTACGGGTCGTCCAGCAGAGAGTTGAACAGGGCGTCCTGGAAAAATAAGATAAAACAGAACGCGTCTTTGTTAACAGCAGCGCGAATGATTCACAGTGAGCAGGAGTTTGTGATCAGTTTCATTCTAGTTTTTACAAATCTTAATTTCTAAGAATTTACACGTCATGTCCCGCCTCCTGCTGCTCTACAGGCTCCACCCCTCGCCCGAACGTTCCCCACATGTTCCTGTTGTTGTGAACGAGTCGGACGATCTGCTGCTGAGTTGCTTTATGTGAAAGACAAACTCCAGAAACAGTCGCTGACCTCGGGCATGTGTGTGTTTACCCACTTTTATGCTGTAATTTTGTTGTAATCAGGGTGAAAGACTCCTGATTACAACATTTACAAAATCAGCTCATAAATAAACTGTTCCTCGTTCAACAGTTCGAACTGTTGAACGAGGAACAGTTTATTTATTTTGTTTCTGCAGCAGTGACTTTCAGCCTCTGAGGGGAGATTAAACTGAATTATCTCATGTGCTTGTTTAACTAAGTGGCACCCACATGCACATGATTGTGTAAATACTGGTCTATACATGTGTGTGACGACAACAGAAAAGAGCGAAGCGACAACAACAACCGCAAACGCAGAAAAATAAACTAGAAATTATTTTGGTCTGACTTCGTAACACAGTGAACTGGTTTGTTCTCCTTCAGCAGACAGAGCGATAACACAGAGCATGACCAAACAAATAAAAATGATTCAATCAGCTAAATCCAATAAGACGTTTCCACTCACTAAACTTAGCACAGAGGCATCCTCAAGTGACACAGTGTTTGTGTGAGAGGCCGACGCAGATTTAAGCTGCTTATTAAACAAACTTATGAAATTGAGCTGGAAGTCGGAGCTGGAATCAAACAGGAAACAGTTTCTCTCTCTCAGAGTGACAGTAACGTTGCTCACATTGTACAGGTCTGTGGCCAGACTCTGGCTGATCTGTTGGAGCTGCGGGAGGCCGCAGACTCTGTGCTGCTCCGCCTGCTGCTCTGGTTCTTGTTTGACCTGACACTGCAACGAGCTCTGGATGCACTGATTCAAAGCGCTCTCGCTCTTAATCAGCGCTGCGTTGGATGTGTTCACCTGCGGCCCCATCTGCTTCTGCTGCGTCAGAGAAACAGACCATAATAAACAGGTGAGGTGAGATAAGTCAGAGATCACTTTATGTTTTTAAGGTGGATTATTTGGTTACCGATCCAAAGTGCTGCTGCATGTGCTGGTTTCGCAGGTTCTGCAGGTGGAGCTGCTGCTGCTGTTGGGCGTTGGGCCGCGGCTGCTGCTGCTGCATGCGTTGGTGGTGCATCTGTTGGTGGTGGTGCTGCCCCAGCGGAGGAGGCTGCTGTCCGGGCTGGGAGCCGGGCAGACACGGCAGAGGCTGGTGGGAGCCCGGCTGGTGCTGGTGGGACTGACTGAGCGGGTACGGAGGAAGCCTCTGGTCCAGAGGCAGTTTGCTGGTGTCTAATGGGACGCCCTGTGGAGGGAGGAGGGACGTAAGTCAAGTATCTTCCTCTGGGACCAAGTTGGTTGTAAACAGCAAGACAAGGCGCTAATTGTTTCGAGAACATCACTCAGCAGAGCTCACACCTCCGCCCAGTGCCTTTAAGTCAATCTGAACCAAATCACTCACACTCTTATCAGTCCTCTACATTTTTTCATCAAGATCCATTAATACTTTTATCCGAAATCAGTGAAAATGTAAAAAAAAGTGTTAAAGAAAGTGATCCAGCCCAAAGTTTAAATATCCTTCTACCAAGTTTCTTGAAAATCATGTTAGCAGTTTTTCTGTAATCTCATGAAAACATATCGTCCTCGGTGAAGGTAAAAATAATCTGTCCTGAAAATGAAACAGTTCATAGATAGAATAATCAGATGATGACTGTTTATTTAATCCAATAAAAATCTAACCAATGTCTTCACAGCAACATTTTACCATAACAACCAGTGCTGCTGATAGACAGCTAGGAACGTCCAATAGGTCCAGGAGACGCAAGACATCCTGGGTCTCACAGACCGGCCTCAGAACCCTCAGAACCCTCAGAACTCTCAGAACCCTCAGAACTCTCAGAACCCTCAGAACCCTCAGAACCCTCAGAACCCTCCCAGCTGAGACACAAAAACATCCTCGAGGATCCTAAACCAAGTCCAGTCGCCCTCGACTGAGCTCCTCTTGGGTAACCATGACCTGGATGACTTCATGACCATTCACAACCCAGGAGCATGTGACCTCACTTAAAACCACCGCAAATAAAACCCAGAATCACAAATCAACTTGCTCCAGTTTCAAAACAAGATATCAGAGTGAAAAAGATATTTGTTGGTGCTCGATGTATTTTTCAGCTCAGAGAATATTTCACTCGTGTCCCTGATGGATTAAAGTCAAACTGTTCAGACGTTTCCTCTCTGAGAGTCTGAAGCTTCATGTTTGTTCATGTTTCATCTGATCTGTTAGTTTCACTTTGTAATTCAGGGACGAAAGAATTTTGTCGGACAAACGTACGTCCTGTCGCCATCACCTACGTGGGCGTCGTCTACCTATACTTGACTCTGATTGGTTTGTAGATGCCCTCTGACGTGGGCGTGTCTGCTTCCTCTTCTTCTATTGTTTAATGCTGTCTCTACTTCCTGTCACTGATCCAAAAGTCTGAAGCAAACAAGGTGAGAAAGAGTCCTGAGACACCAGCTGTCTTCACGCTCCCTGTGTTCAACCTGGTTCATATCTAATGATGTTGTTCAGCTTCGTGTGTGTTTCTATCGAATTCATTTCATGTTGAGTTGATTGAGTTCAACCTGTGTTTTACCTGTGTGATGGATGACAGGGTGGGAGAGATGGTGGGGGAGAATTGTTTGGAGTGATGCCTCCGCGACTCCCCTCCCATGGGCAGGATTAGTGGAGACAGCTGAGCTCGTCTCCGTGGCGACGTGCTGAGCGACGCCTGACCCTGCCCACTGAGCAGCGGCGAGTAGGACGAGGAAGAAGAAGAGCAGGAGCCCGACCCGCCCATTCCACCACTGTAACTGGGGTTACCGCTGGACACCGACTGGAGGGAGGAGTTACTGTGGGAGGAGTGCAGCGATTGGCTGCTGAGGGAGGACGGCAGAGATGGGGAGGAGCTAAGAGACGACTGCAACGAGGGGTTGCTGAGCGATGAGTGCAGAGAGGCGGAGCTCAGAGAGTTGGAAAAGGAGTGGCTGCTGAGCGATGACTGGATGTTGGGGTTGCTTAGTGACGAGTGCAGGGAGGGGTTACTGAGCGTGCTCTGTAGAGACGCCAGCAGACCTGAGGAGGGAGAACGAAACACGTCATCAACATGTGTCCACGCTGAACAGAGAGGACAGAGGGGACAGAGAGGACAGAGAAGACAGAGAGGACAGAGAGGACAGAGGGGACAGAGGGGACAGAGAGGACAGAGGGGACAGA